GGGCCGCGGGCCGGCCGGCCGGGGAGCGCGGCGGTGCTGTGCGCCCCGGCTGCGGAAACAAAAACGTGCGATACCTTCCTTCGGGCTGACCGCCTTTCTTCTGCAGAAGAAGTGTCCCCGTTGTCCCCCACGGAGCGGATGGCGAGGGGACGCGGAGCAGGACACGACCCAGGCGTCACCTGCAACATACCACACGTTAGTTACCCTACTTCTTCACCCTCCCCAAACATGCAGAAGTTACTGTATGCAGACCTGCCGATGTGCAGCACCAAGAGTAATGTTTTCCCTGTGCAAACAGGCTCTGAGAAATTACAGAAGAAAATTGCGCATTTGGTTACACTGAAGCTAAGCCTAAAAATACAATTAATGCTAATTATCCCTATAAAGTGCATTTTGGGTCAGTTAAACAACACAAAAGTTTTGAAACATATTAGAAGTGATGCAAAGTAGCATTCCAGATGAGAAGTGGAGGTTGCTGGTAACGAGTTTTTCAGTAACTGAACATAGAAGGGCAGTATATATTTTCAACGTATTTTATAGATAGACATATACATAGATAGACAGCTTTTCTCTAAGATAATGTCCCTAAAATACAGTGCTGTCCCCTATTTTTCACGTGGTGGTTAGTGGTGTCCATGCAAGAAGAGAGTTCACCTTCCTTCAGAGAGGCAATAAACGTTCATGAGAAGCAGCATTTTCAGCTGCAGTCCTTTGGGACCTGGCAGATCGAGCAAGTTTGAGTTTTCCTGTCCTTGGCTGGGAAGACCCAGAGAGCGCCTGCTGCTGTTAGGAGGGGATTCAGCTGGTCTCCTGCTCGGGAGTCAGCGCTGAAGGGCTTTTTGAGCCCGGCCACGGAAACTGCCTGTGTTCATTTCAGGTTCTCCGCTGCCTTTCAGGAGGAATCGCAGACGTCCTGTTTTAGCCACATCCTCTGCCCGTCTTTCCTCCCCAGTTCCTATATCTTGTACCTTTTTTATATCCATTTTCTGTCCCAAACTGCTTAGCAGGAACACTGTACATTGCCAAAGAGTTGCTCTGTTTTCTTTCTCCTCCTCCACCTTCCGTTAAGTGGCTGTAATTTCCTAGGAAATAAAACTATCCTTTGTATATAGTTTACATTTCGGTTGTATTATTATACTTTGTTTTAATTCAGTAGGTTGCGTAATTCTAGCGGTGCACTAAGCGTCTCAGTAAAGTAACTGGAGTTACTATAGAAACACAAACACTTTTATTTAAAACTCAGGAGAAATTGCCACCAGAGTAGTATAATGAGCATAGATCAGATTTCAACCTTAGCTAAACAAATCATCTTTTTAACGACTCTACCTGCACTGAAAGTGTTTTGAAGCATGAACGTGGCTCTCTGTCTTCCTAACCACCCACGCTCAGAGTTCACGATTGGCAAATTGACTGCTGAGTTGAAAAAACATGCTGCATCTTTAGAAAATCATGGATCAGATTTTCAGCTGAAGTAAATACACGCAGTTTCAGAGACATCACTCTGCATTTGGAACAGCTCACTGTGTGGGAAAGATTTCTAATAGGCTAATATATATATTTTTTTTTCTAACACATTGAACAATTCCTAATACACAGTCAATAAATACACTTTTCTGGCTGCTGAAACAGCCTTTGGGACCTTCAAGCCCTGCATTGGAGCTTCTTCGAATCCAGGGTGACCACTAAAAAACGAGGGGCCTGTGAGCAACAGGCTCTTGGCGCTGCAGGAGGCAGAGACTTTTTCTCCTAGAAGCAGAGCCCGTTCTTTCCCCAGAAAACAATAAGCATTGATTTAGTAAGCAAAACTGCTGGATGAATTATTAAGGAAAAATACTGGAAGTTTCTATTTGCATGTTTAGATTTTTTCAGTTTCATTTTTGAATTTTGTTTTTCAGCCTACCAGCGTCAGAAACAAGACTGTTAAACCACAGTAAAAACCATGGGTCATCATCCAGTCCTGTGAAAAGATAAAGGTAGGGTTGATTTTAAGGAAAAAGCAATTGTCCTGACCATAACAGCCCTATCTGTAGCTGTTCTTCAGCTATGTTAATCTTCCAGAAAAGCCAAAGACAGGTTACATCTTCAAGAGCTCTCTCAAAGGCTTATCCGAGAGGTTTGAGCTTTAGCGAAGTGGAGGCTGCTTCCTGCAGTCCTAGCTCAGCCCTCACCAGATAAACCCTCTTAAATTTAACGGGTCCAAGCTCTCACCTGTCATTTGCTTTTGTAAAATAACATAAGATGGGCTTTAACACTAAGATTTGAGAATTGCAACTTCAAGCCAGCCTCTCTCAGCTAAATGTTATGCTTTGCTGTTAGTACACTATGTTGAATTGTAGATGGGCTTTTGATCATTTTGTAGGCTGTGATATTTGTCTCCACTGCCGACGCTCACACCCCCACTCCCCCGGAGGTACCGTGGTGCCTCAGAGGCTGTGCTTTCGGGGTGCCGGGAGAAATCCCAGTCGCAGCCCTGCCACAGAGGGGCCAGTCAGGGGCGCCGCGCTTCCCCCCGTGCCTGGAGGTGCAGCCTCGGCCGAGCTCCTGGGCAGCCCCAGGCAGGACCCGCGCAGCGCGTGCAGCCCTTCCCCAGCTCACGGGGGCGTGTCTTTTCCCCTCAGTCAGCTTGATACAGAGCTCTGTATTTCCAAGCGCTGTACATGCAGAGTGTGCGCCTGCTGTCCCTTTCCCATTGCAAGGGAGCCTGCCGGAGTTGCATCAACCCTGTACAAACAATGCACTCAGCAACGTCTTTACTCTGCCTTACAGGGCTGCACTGAGTCACATCTGAAATCCGGTGCCCTAAACCCATTTATCTGTAAAATAACTTTCTGCACTCAGTGGCAGTACCGTTGAACTGACTGTGCTGTATCAGACAATTTGCGTGGTGTGTGCTTCACGCTCGGCAGCTGAATGGCCGTTCAGTGTTAGGTGATGATCCTCTGGGCAGGCAGAGTAGACAGTATTATGATAATTTACATTACAATTACTTCTTACTAATGCAAATTGCCATCTTTTTATATCAGTTTAGCCTACTCACATTCAGAAGTTGCTAGCTTCCATGCCTTTTCTCAGCTGAAAAAGTCTTTTAATTATGAACAGTTATATAAGAGAGTAATCTAAAGGGATCATGTAAATAAGTAATTGAATCGGCAGTTTTACAGTCATTACCAGCCTGATAGCCATGTGACATTTGCACAGAAAGAAAAATAAAATACAGATTCTCTTTTGTCTATTTCCTATATTCAGTTAAAAAATGTAATCGATGGCAATACTTGTTACTACAGCAGCCTTTACTTAGCAGAGAAGCGTAGGAAGCAATTAATTACAACGTCAGTTGCTGCAGGCTAAAGAGAAAAATGCACCTTTCAGCAGACTGGTCATCAGCATCCATTTGAACACATTCTGTCACTGATACTGAATCCCCTGAAATAAACAGCACAATTTTCTCGCATGAGTTTCTGTTTTGAGTCAAAACCTCAGTGGCTCCATTCAGGTTTAGCTGGTATTCTGGTCTAATGGTCTTTGGTCTCTGCTGAATACAAAGAGAAACGAATGCCAGTGGGTGGACGGGGTACAAAGTTTACAGTAAAAGCAAGCTTTCCAGTTATAATTCATCTCGGAGACCCATTACAGTAATGTAGGAAACGTGGTGGCTGGTGGCTTCCTTTCATAATCAAAGCATTATTTTGCAATCTGCGGGAAGAAGTTACATAAAACCTTTCACAACAGACAGATATGCATATGGAAAAGAGAAGCTAGACAAACTGTGTTTCCCTCTGTATCTCCACATTTGTATTGATATTTATGACATGAGGCAAATGGAGGGAAGAGCTGTGTGTCTATTGTGTCTTTCTGTTTCAGTGAATCCACTCCCGGCTCCTCTGCGGCCTCTGAGGGTTCAAGGTCCTTTCCTGTTAATGCAAGGTCAGTCTGTGCTCTCATACACCACAGCATTTTGCTGGTACCAGCTGCCTCCCCAGAGCACCCGTGTGGGGAGCTTGCAGTGCTCTACGTATGACGTCAGTTAGTGACATATGCCATGCTTTTATCAGCGCACTTACTAGTGCACGTCCCTTCCTTCAGCAAAGGAGACGTGCAGCAAATGCAAGGAATGGCGGCCCGTAGCTGGAGATGGGTCTGCAGCTGCTTAATCACAATCTTTAAGTCCACGACTCTGATCTCATCCCTTGCAGCACAAAGCACTGCTTCTGCATTTGTGTATTTAATCCATTTCAGTCAAATCTTTGCTGTTACCTGCATGGAAACACTGTACCCAGTGAGACGTATATTAAAGGCTGTGAAAGACTAAGATTAGAATACAATGACAGGCCTTTTTGTGATAAAGTTTATGCTTACTATTCTCAAGCTCGTTGCTAAGAAGAGGGGCTTTAATCAATAACCTCAACAGAGGACCCCCCACGCGTTGGCTCAGCTTTCTTCCTTTGCCTGCTGCTTCAGTCACGTTCCCAGCGCACGCGTTGGGCGAGCCCAGCTCGATGCAGGGCCCCGTCGTTCACACTGGGGTGTCAGTAGGAAACGAGGCTCAAGCACACACAGCTGGCTGGGATCAGCAGCAGCAACGCACTTACGCTGCAGAAGCCTGCTTTAATTAAGAGCTCCTCACTTTGTCAGCAGACCTAGGCAAGATACGATGAAAGTTTGGTGGCAACGAATAGAGTTTTGCTCTTTTAACCTTTTCTCAGTGAAGATTTTCAACCTTTCCCAGATTCTGGTTTACACATTGCTTTTGATTCTACTTTGGCTGGTCTCTGTGTTGTAGCATTAACAATATTCTTTTTTTTTTTTTTTTTAAGATATATCACTCCTTATTTTGTAACTGCAAGAACAGGAATCTCTGTGTTCCTCTTTACGTGAGAAACCATTCTTCCCATTGCCCGTCCCTTGCAACTACAGGATCACAAAAGGTATTTCTTATAAGGAAAATTCTTGTTTACCTGCGCAAAGGAGGTAAGCTGCACTCACACAGCATTGATCAGATAGCTCAGATGACCACAAATACTGACATTACAGTAGTATTTTGTACTGTTGTTAGTTTGTACGCAGCAGTGGTTCACACACAGGGCTAGACCCTTTTTCTTCTGCCACTAATTATTGTGGATGCCAAATTAATAGACTGTTATTATGGGCAAAACCAGTGAAAATCAAGTGAACAAAATCATGCAAGTAAACAAAGGCCTCAATAACTGCTTTCTAACGTTACCTTACTTCAGAGGGTTTTGGATGAAATTGTGGTTCTACCAGATATTTTTAATCTCGGTCCTTTCTCTAAAGCCTCACATGATGTAAGATCAAGTCTGGCTTCATTCTGCTCAAGAGGAGTGACACCGTTTTCACACAGACTCGAGTTCTGGCCTTTGGATTTTATTCAGATTAAATCTCTGCTAGAGAAAGACCTCATAGCCGGCTATCCTAGCGCTGCTGAACAACACTGATTTTATGCCGTGGCGCTGCCAGTAGGGCTCGCTGGTGCCCTGGCTGCTCCGTTCCCATGACGACGCTCCGCGAAGCAGCTCTGCGCCCGTTTCCGGACTGCTTCGTTGCATCCCGCAGCTGGTCCAGGGCGCCACCTGCAACCCCGGACAATGCCTCTTCTGCCAACTAATAGAAAACACTTTACAAGGAAAAAAAAATACCTAATTGAAATAGTGATGTTTTGATTATCAAAACAGGGAGCATGAAGCTCTTCACTGCCCAAACGTTGGGAAGACGGCTGATTTCGGGCTGCCATTTCACATGGCGCACTGCTGCTTGCTAATGTAATCGGGAATGGCTTTGTTTGTGCCCCAGGGACGGTACTTGTTTTCACTGCTGCTGCTACAGTGTGCCTTTTTCTTCATGCATGCAGCAGTGAATTAAAATATAACCACACCTCAAGGAAGTCCAGATTGTGTGTAGTAGATGGCAGTGAGTTGCTGGGACTAATTGTCATGGAGAGGAAGGTCTGCCTTGGTGAGGCACAGCTTCTCTAAAAGCTGCGCACCTCCAGGAATTGCTGCAGGCGTGAGAGAGCGCAGCGGCAGCGTGGGAGGCCAGATACAGCCGTTCCCCAAATACTTGTCTTCAGAGCTGGGTGTTTGCCCCTCCAGCAGAAAGTGGGCTCTTCGTGCCCTGGCTGCTGTGTCTCAGTTTTGTAGCACTGCAAAGATGCAGGATAAAATCCACGAACCTTTCCATTGCACGAGCTCGTTGCGTGGGTGCAGAGGAAGCAGTGGTGTGTGTTATTAGCTCAGGGTGTCTGCGCGAGGGCTCTTAGTCCTGCAGCTTTGTGACTGCAACGTGCCTATTTTGATTGGCTACATTATTCAGTGTTGCCTGGCCCAAACATTTCTGTGACCTCAGTATTAGCCTGCACATTGCATTTTCACTTAATTTAATTACTGGTTAATCTGCTATTCTATTTTATTTGATCTGAGCCCTAAGAGCCATAGCACATGGACTGCAAATTATACCATGTCCATCCTTAACTATGACTGCTTCAAGCAGGCACCGAGGAACAATTTGATCACCGTCTGTACGAGCTGCCATTTCACTGAGAAATAAAAGACAACTCTAAATAAGACAGATGCAGAGAAAGCACAAAGATTGCTCACACTGATAATGAAAATTAATCAAACACCATTAGCAGAAGCCAAAGAGCTCAGTACAGCGCGTGCTGTGCAGCCTGAGAGGCACTGCTGGCTGTTGTCCGGCTGAGGAGTGCCTGCCTCGCTCAGCTCAGGGGCAGAAAGGCGCTGTGTCGCAGCAAGAAAAAAAAAAAAAATCCAAATTTTGAACCTTTTTCAAACTGAGTAGTATGGCTTTTTCTGAAAGCAGTTTGGGACAGCCTCAAAAGCTGGAGCCGGACTGTATTTTGTCTGTATCATGTTTAATATACGAGAACCTTAATGAGAGCTTTTAGGCTTTACAACAACTGACACTTTTTTTTTTTTTAAGGCTCATGTCTTTTGGGTTTGTTTGTCTGTCCCCTTCCACCACCCCCCAGCCTATGCTTATAATTTGAAATTGCGTGACTAGTAGGGGAAAGAGAAAACCAAGCTTGTTAGCTGAAGATTTGTCAATTGAGGCTTAAAAATTAAGGGCAGAAAAGCTAAAGGGGTGAAAGAAGTTCAGGATTTCAGTTTGCACGCGTACATTCAGCCGTGCAGAACTGCAGCCTTCCCACAAGCTGGTTTTGTGGCCGGCACCCGTTATTCCTTTGCCCTATCAAAGTCTTGAGAGTTTCTCTCCTGAAGTTATATGCCAAACGTCCACACTAGGCCCATGGGTATATTCCACTGATTTCAGAGTGACTACAGCATTTCACAGCGGGTGAGGATTTGGTTCTGAATTTTCTGTGCCTGGCCTATATTGCATTAATTACCTGTGACTCAGGAAAAAAAATAAGATGTATTCTCTCCGAAAGCAGTACGAAACCCATCTGGATCACCTTAATTCAATTTGGGGCAGTAGCAAGTGGATGTGCGGGGAGGACAATTGATGTTGAAATCAGCACACTGTAATATGATTTTTGAATGAGAGCAGCCCATTAATGTCCCCTTGGTACAGTCTAGGGTGGTTCATCACATCAGCGCTTTCTCCAAGCAGTTTCTTTGAGCCACCACTGCTCAGTGCCCTCTGGCTACATACAGGCAAACCCTTTTCCCTTCTTTAAGATAACGCCTTAGAAGACACAAAGTCCAGAAGTGGACATGGCTTGTGTCGCCTCGATGAGGGTGTTGGCACAGCCCTGAGCAGCCGCGAGCCACTTGCTGAGGAGACCTGCCAGGCACCGATGCCGGATGCTTCCCCGAGGGCAGGGGACGCGCCTGGGGTGGGAAGCAGTCACGGCAGGGCAGGGAGGACTTTGCTGAGAATTAAATAATGCTGAAATAATGTCAACGTAAAATAACCACCCAGGTCAAAGCAAGGTTAGCTTTTCCCTCTTGAGCTGCATTTCCCCAGCAAACTGGGCAAGCGGCGTCCCTTCGTGCGACGTGATGCTCAAGCAGCACAGCACCAGCAAGCAAGATTTGGGCTGGCAGCAGCAGGGGGAGCAGTGCGGGCATGCCAGCCCTATCAAAGTCCATTTTTCGCCTGCCTCTTGCTGCTCACGTGCCCAGGCAGTCTGTCCCCCAGCCCCTGCCAGCCATCACCTGCACCCACAGCCTGTGAGAGAGAAAATTATTAGCACAGCCCGAGTGCGGGAGGAGGAAATGACTCCCTCATCACGTAGCGCCCTTCCCCTCATTAGTGCGACCTGCTCAGAGCTCTTCTTGGCGGTGAGCGGAAACAACAGCATTTCTGCTAGTTAAATCACTTCTCTGCAGCAAACCCCTCTGGGAGCCTTTCCCACTAGGCACTTTCTCACTGTTAAACATTGACCTGGGCCATAAGGAGCCACACCGTGAGACACCTTGGCCTTCACAACTAAACCGTACACGGGATCTTTGGTTTACTCCTTGCTTAACTGGAAGGCACAAGGCACTGGAAAACGGCTCATGACCTTAATATCACGGCGTATGAAGCAGCAGGTGGAAAGAGATGGTACGCAGACGCTTCCTTCCAACAAAATGTGATCACAGTTGGAGCAGATTCATCTAGGAAAATGCTAAGCTGGAAATGCCAAGTTAATTAGCCCTCATACATAATTTGTTTTTAAAAATACATTATCATCTGCTTCTGGAGGAACGAAATCCTATCTTTCCCTTCTGTTAGCCTGAAAAGTCAATCCTAAAAACATCACTGAAGCCTAAATTGAGAGGCAATATGATACTTCCAGGTATAGAAGCTCTCTGTGAGTATAAGGAGTTTAAAAATCCGCAAATTTCCTCTTTCAACCCAAGAAGGCAGCAGCCCGGTAGGCACCGTGCACAGCCGACCTGCTTCCCTGCTTCTCACGCATCCGCCCCACTGCAGTTCGGCTTCCCTGCACCCAGCGCTGGCCCTGCTCAGTGTCCCGCAAGGCTTTGCCCTTCCCAGCTGGCACCTGCCCCATGAAAAAATCCTGATGTCCTGATCCCTACTGGCTTGAATAAAAAAAAGTTGCTAGGCTGCAATGCACTTGGGCTGGACTTCATGTTCCAGTCAGCTATTTTGAGATGCTTTTTGGATCTAGGAATGACCAATGATGCACCCCAAACTATATTCTTTCTAAATTAGTAGCCGAAGCAGCCTGCTGCTTCTCAGATGGCACCTATAGTCCTTTGAGTTTTCATGCGCTCTCTGTGACACAGCATGTTTTGCCATTATTGAGCACCTGCTCTCTGCTCCAGCTGATCTGTTTGTGGAGGAATAGAGGACTCAAGTTTATAGTAACATTTAAAAAATACATATTTTTTCCTAATTGAGAACACAGTTCTCAGCATTTTTATTTAAGTGGGCATTTCCAACATTATTATTAACTGCATTGCCTTTTAGATGCTCTCCAGCAGAAGAGGCCTGGAAGATATGGTGGTATCAGTGTGGGGGTATTAACTGGTATCGATTGGTATTGATGGATCTTTGAGACACTCAGGAAACAGGTGAGTGGAGGCGAGCGGCAGAGCCACTGGCCCCACTGCTGCACATGCAGCCTGTGGACGCAGCAGCTGCAGGGCCGAAACAGCATTGGGAGCTCCCTGTCTTCCACAGAGACGTCTGTTTCCAGCATAGTCTGCAGCGTTTTATTTAACAAGTGTATATTTTTGTGCCTCTTCTTTCTGTGCAAGCCAAGATGCTTTCTGTAGAGCTGATGGTGACGTATCACCGCAGGGGCAGCCCACCGTGCTGACTGCTCTATCATGAACCACAGATATTGATCCTGCTGCATAAGAAAAAATAGCAGCGTTCCCCCAGCCACGTTCCTCCTGCTGGTGTAACTTCTGCTATGTCTACACTCACGGTAATTTTAGGCTGTTGACTGCCTTCACACCCACTTTGGTAACGATGAAGTCTCATCCTGGGGAAGCGGCAGAACCACTCTCATAAGGAAATCATGGCTTTTTAGCAATATCATCACCAGTGAAATGTCACTACAGTGTCATCTCGAGAATCGTGGCCTCTCGGTGGCTGTGGTGTTATTAGTGGAGGAGGAGGAGGCGGCGGTGGAGAGCAGCACGTGGCTGAGCTAGGCCCAGCAGCACCGTGTGGGCTGTGGGTCAGCTTGGTTTGAGCTGGGTGTAAAACTCAGGAGGTAATGCTGCTGGTCAGGAGCCAGGACCTTGATTTTGAGGAAAAGGTACAAAAACTGTAGAAAAGCAAAACAGTGATTCATGGAATATGTGAAAGAGGGCGATCGCTGGGCTGAGCCCAAGTGAGGGCTCATCTCACAGTGGGGGCAGCACAGGGAGCCATGGAGAGAAGCACGTGAGAAAAGCCAGTATATAAAAATGAGCCTTTCAGCTGCTGGAAAGCCAGTACCTCACCTCCTCTATTAAATGAGCAGGCGATAAAGGAATATAGACCCCAGTTGAGGTTTGCCCCACGTAACAAAGCAACCAACGTACAGCCCTAAACCTGTACATTGATATTGAATGAAGTCATCTAGTTATTTGTTTCTGAGAGACAAGAATTGGATTTGTTTTCATAGTACACTAAGCATCACGTTATCATCAGCAAAACAGTGATAGAAAGGTCCATGAGAGCAGCCTCCCTGGCGAACTCTCAGGCAACAGATGCCCTGCAGCTCACAGGGTCTCACTGCAGAGAGAGGCCCCAGCGGAGTGCAAAACGCTCATGAATTCCAAGTAGGAAGGGCACTGCAGCGCTGAGGAAAGTGGCTTTTGCTGTGGCTTGCAGTATTATTGCACGACCAAAGCCTTTCCCTGCGGATCAATGCATGGGTGCTAGGACAATTTCTCATCAGCAAGTGAGAAACCACATCCTTTTAAACAACCTCACGCCCACCTTGCAGATACAGCAAGCATCTAAATCAAAATTAAACGCTTTGGGGAAGACTTTACTCTTAGGCTTCCTCTCTTTTGTTATTGTGTCATGGGCTGCATGCCTATTAAATTATCCAATATGTATGACTTACCTGTCTTTTGCTCTTATCACTTTCTTTTCCTAGTTTCATAAAATTCACAAAGTTTCTTTCATATTACCTTAAACCGACTTGTATTGTCCCAACAAGCTAGACAAACTCCACAAAAACAAACTAGTCTTTTTAAAGGGTAGAGTTCAAACGGCACGCACTGGAGTTCATGCGTTCTTTGCAAGAGAGATGCACAGCAATAAAAGGCTGGAAGTCCAAATGCTGGTATTGTACCACCAATCCTGCATGCCATTTAGCCTGCTTGGCTGTTGTGTCGAAGCTGCCAGTCTCCATACGGTACAAAATCAATTCCCAGCAGAGTCATAAAAGCTCTGTGGAGGCTAGTCAGGCTGCAGATTAAAATGAACTCCTATTCCCAGAAGATATGCTCACTGAAAATAAATAATTAGCATATGGCAAGGCATGAGCAAATAAACGGCCATAACAATTAAACTTTATTTAGATTTAATTTGATACTCAGCACAATAATAAGCACAGAAAGAATTAAGTGCCAAAATACCAAATCCATAGCATATAAAATAATCAAATATATTTCATATTTAGTGAAATATTTCTACAACACACTGGTGGGATGCCCTAGGCAGCCCAACCCTGTATGTATATATATATTTATATGTATGTATATAGCTATGTTATATAAAATACTGTATGTAGAGAAAGCACTAAAACATATCACCAAAATAGAAAATAGCTCAAAATACGGATGCTCCAGATCTGCTAGTAATACCCAATATTGAAAAAAGGTTCAAATCCACTGCAGGAGATAAAGCTCCAGCTGTGATGCCATTGGAGGCATGAGATGGCTGAACACAGCTGACAGTATTACTGGGCCCAGACTGGCTGAAACTGGGAGGAACCTGGGTGCTTTTGCTAAGTGATAGCCGCAGGGTTAGCGCTCCTGGCTATGCCGCACTGAACGGGCCCTTGCAAACCTACCGTGGGGACTTGCTGTCCCGCGTCAGCAGGTGCCGTACACCAGAAGGATGTTCTTCTGAATTTTAAAGGTGCCTCTGTAGCAGTGGACAGGAATTAATTCCCATTAGCTTTTAAAAATGTAGAAAGCTGCCTTTACACCAGGCCAGGCTCCTCGAGGCAGCACAGCACATTTGCTCTGGTCTGCAAGGGAGCAGCGGGCGAAGCAGTAAGCTGCTGCTGCAGGGCAGAAATGCAGAAGGAAATGCTGGTCCCGGCAAAAACTCCCGCTTGTCCTGAGGGTGAGCGACGTTAGTCTTGTACTTACAGATCCCAAGTGACTTGTAACTAGATGTAAAAATAACGGCATTGCTTCACGATATACCACTACAGCTCTGCACCTGCTGCTTTCCAGCCTGTAAAATTTTGTGCTTGTTCCCATCTTTTTGACTCAATCCAGTGGGCAATTTTCCTGCCTGTCCCACACAGCTGGCGACAACCCCCCCCCCAGCCGTGCCCTCCTGCCACCGCTGCGGGGCTGCTTCTGTGCCACCGAGGACAAACCTCGCCCCTGAATAACGCTGTAATTGCTCCTCCTCATCGAGCTGGCAGCCACAGCCCTCATTATATAGCAACAATACCATGGCTAACAGGGTGAGCCATAACCCGCGGATGGCATTAGCATCGTTATGTTGCTATGAGTAACTGCCCGGTAATGGCTGTTTGAATACGGCATTATCAATTAAGTAAATATAAATTCTTAGCCTCTGGAAAAATTATTAATAAAAATCTCATTCTGATAGCCTCTGATCACAGCTGAATACAATTACTCATAGGAGGCCACTATAAAAAGTATTTTTCTCATCAGAAGAAATTCGTAAGGTTTGTCTGACTGTTCATAATAAAGAGGGCACTATATAGAAAAGTCCAGAAAATAAGCACACGTTTGTTTCTCAAAACCCATAGATAAACATGACAATATCTCTAAGTTACTGGCTACTGAACAGGATTTCATTTAGCTAAACTCAAGCCTAGTATAAATGTTTCCAAAGCAGCATGTTGCCATTTCATCTGGAACAGCTGCACAGAGGGTCTTTGATGTCAAGCTGGCGTGTGGGGGCATTTCAGTTTCTCCTTATGCCTCCAAAGTGCTGAAATGGGAAGGAAGAGGCATTTAATTCAGTAAGAGTTTTGCATGAAATTTAAAAAAAAAAACACACAAAAAACAAAATTTGGCCTTGAGTGCCGCAACAAGAAATAATAATTTGTTACTGCAGTTGTGGCAGAGCTACAAAGCACCCCTCGCACATTCGTATTTCGAAGGAGACAGAGAAAGCGGGGTTTTGGTTTGCACGGGGTTTCGGTCCGCCAGGGTTTCAGCCCACGTGGGGGCTTCCTGATGACCTCCAGGAAAGACAGTTTCTGAGGCATTTGCCTGAGGCTGCCTCTGTAAACACCCCCCTCTACTCCTCAGCGGTTACTGGAGAACAATCAGCAAGCGGCTACTGGAAGAGGCCAGGGGCTTTGAGGTGAAACTGCACGAGCCGATGAAAACACTCCCTGTTTGCAGGGGCGCGCTCTGGCTCGCGTGCACCAGGGCTGGCGCAGCCCCGCTCGGCCCCTTCAGCTCAGCTTCGCGACAGACTTACTGCTCATCCTCCACAGCCGCGTCACCCTCCACAAAAGGGATTTCTTCCCTGTCGGCTTGGCCCAGGACGAGATGGTGCTTCTCCATGTTGATGATACACTGTAAAGAACAAACGCCTTTATAGAAGGGGGAAAACCGCAACTCGCAGCGGCCCTGGTTTCTCCAGCACCAGTAAAAACCCCAGTGGAAAAACCTCCTCACCTTCAGAGCCTTCAGCGTCTGCAGCCCAAAGGAGAAGGGTTTCTCACTGTTTTCTGAAAAATATATATATTCAGATTTATACATGTAAAATGGCCTCTGGTGAATTTTTGCAAAAATCACCCCCCCTTCCTTGATGGCTGCTCTGCTAAAATACCGACCGGTTTATACAGGGACCGAGTTACCCTGGAGGGGCAAGTCAGCGAGGGCAGGCAGGAGCCCCTGCAAGGGCGACGGGGCCGTCGCATCGG